TCTTGCTAAACTACTAGATTTCTTCAATGCCCTGTCCTGGGGGTTCACAGACCAAAGAATATTAGCAGGCAGATGTAAGTGGGAGCAGAGGGGACTTTCTACACATTTTAACTAGAATCATCCTGTGATGGGAAGAGAGATAGGAAAATATCATGGCAAATTCCTCACTGGAATAAGAAACCAGTTCTCTTCTTTCCACTCACCTAAAAAAGAACCCCTCAGTTCAAGGGCAAGATGTAAACAAGAGAATTCCAAAATGGGGAAGAAACACATCACTGACAATGAACGTGGGAAAGAACAAGAGCTGTGAGACCCTCTTCTTTATTTGCTGAGGAAGACAGGAAGAACTTCCATGCATCTCATGGTTCATACTCCTCCTTTCAGTATAGTATCTCCAGTATGGGCATGGTGCCTGCTAGCATGCTTTTGTGCTTGTGCAAGCAGGCTACCTGGAAAGAAATTCATGTGATCTAGGTAAGGCAATGTTACCCCACGGCAGTGAAGAATCAGCAATGTTTGTATCTTTCATCCTCCATTCCAGAAGACACAAACACCATGTGGGTACCAGGGAGTGGCAAACCTTGATGTGCTGTGCCTATCTTAAAAACAAAGGTCATGGAAACCTGCTATCGTTTCTTTTTATTAGTATTTTTTTATTTTAAATTCTAATTGACCTGTTATGCACTGTTCCAAGTAGCACTGCTTCTTCAGTGACAAGCTCACCTCCATTAATACTTGATCATGCTACATGTGGCAACTGGAAGGCAGAAATTTGCAGGGATGGAGAAGTTTCTGTTTGCTTCGGTCAGTCTGGAAACACTTCTAGTTGAGTATAGATCTAAAGGAAACTAAAAGGAAGAAATAAAATTAAGAGCTGCAAAATGGTATGTGCATATTCAGCAACTACACTTCTTGCAAGACTGCACATGGCAGATTTGGGAAGCAGTAGTGGATGACTAAGTAGGGAAAACATGTACAACTCAAAAACACAGGTGCCCTGTTGAAGACAACCAGTTGCTGGCTTCTTCTGGAAACACGACTCTTCTTTCCTCAAGGCCTGAAACTAGATTTTTAAACATGGGCACTACACATCCAGAAGAGATGCCCGGCTTTTCATTATCACTCTATGGCTAGTATTTTAGTCCTACAGATATTACAGTTTGGTTAGATCTATGCACAGTGACAGTAACCTACCCTGTTCCCATGCCTTCCTCCTCCAGTTCAGTGCTCCTACAGTATGGGACTCAGAGTTTATCCAGTGCATCCTATTTGTTATGGAGATTGTGGGGCAAGGGGTAAAAAGCCTTTATACACATCACTTCCACCATGCCAGTCTAGTCCTTTCCCATTTTCCTATTAAGTGTATCCACATCTTTAATATGAATCCCACTTCTACAGCTTGAATTCTTGCTTCTCCCTGCCATCACACATCAATCACATTCTTCTTAGCTCCCCTCCTGTCTCTTGCTTTTACCCCTAAAGTTTTAGTTTATCCCCATTTGCCCTTTACCATGCTTTCCTTCATCCCCACTACATACTGCCTGTTTTTTTTTTTCATTTCAGGCCACCTCTCTGCAACGTCCTCACCCAAAAGTGTGATTACTTCTTTCCAAGTTCCCAACAGATAGACTAAGAGGCCCATGGGCTACAAGTCAGTCCCAAGCTGTAGGCTGCGCAGTTCTGACAGGCAGAACTTAAGGACTTACCTTAAAAACTGAAGGAGCAATTTAAAGGGTGTCTAGAAACTTAAAATACTTCTCTTTGGGTAAATGTACAATGCAATGCTGTATAGATGTGATTGAGCCTGCTCTAAGCCCAGCTCTTCTGCCAATGCTCTGTCCTGCCTCGATTGCCTGACTTCTAGGCAGGAACAGGTGAAATCCCACGCTCATGCCACTATACTGCTGCTGCTATCAGAGACAACTCTTCTATGCCTAACTGATTTACCTCTGGTTTTTGCAGACATACTGTCAAGAATTTTTTTAGAATTTTTCAGAGGTCCTTGAAGGGTGAGAACAACGTACACCTGACTCTTTTTTTATGCTTTACATATTCTGTGCTGATTAACTGGTTTTAGGTATTTGTGGTCTTTTGGGGTTTTTTTAGACAATCACTGTAAATGATGTGCCTAAGGGCAGCATTAACACAGGTTCAGTCCAGCTTGCTTTTGTTCTTTTCCTTACCCCTTGCAACAGATTCCTGTCTCTCTTTGAAAGGGAGTCAACAGGAAGCATGACACTCAGGGGAAGGATGTGTGACAGCATTAAACTTCCTGGTGAAGCTTCATTCTTTGTCCTGTCGTAGCCATAAGCATCAGTGGCATAAGTATCCTTACCTACTGATCCTGTGCATCACTGTGAGAGACTGTCTCTTTCTTTACATTAGCAGTTAGATTAGATGTACCATGTACAATGCTTTGCATGAATAAAGAAATTTTTGCAAATTTATGTTAAATGTGGTTTTAATTATCTAAAAGAAAAAAGAGATTATGCTAAAGAGGGGTTTTTTTCTTAAATGGAAGACAGAAAAAGAGTGGATTATGTATTTATTATTGTTGAAAAGGAATCATCAAAAAACACAAGCCAAGAATTTCATATTCTAAGCACTCCATGGAAAAATACAGAGAAATACATAGAGAAAATGCTGACAATGCTGATTTTTAGCCATAAGAAAAAGTGATCGAATATATCTAAAGACAGGTGAAATACTGGAGTCAGGGCAAAGTCATGCTTGCTAATGCAGTCTCAGACCCATGTTGCAATGCATTCTTCAATGAATGATGTAATAACATGCTTTCCACCCATCAATATTATTTTGTCATTCAGCCTAAAGGTCAGATGAGAGAATGGCTCCAGATTTAATTTTATTATCCCTGTACAAGGAGTGAATTTCCACTTCCAAATTACCAGGATCTCTGCCTCCTTTATTAGTCAACCCTGCCCCATTCAGCAGGCAGCATCTGGAGAATACATTCCTGTTTTGCACACAAGTTGCAGAGCGGACAATGGCCAAGGCAGGACTTTGACTTGAACAAGGAACAACCTGTGTTTATGTGATGTGCAGGGAGCATTTTTTTTTCCCAAGAACTTTACCTAAGAGACAACAGCCAGTTGATCATGAAGCCTGTCAGCCTTTGCCCCTGGGCTTGTCAGGCGGTTCTATAAACCCTGCAGTTCAAAGCATTGTGAGGAATGTTTTCTTGCAACACATTTTATTTAGCATAATCAAGCCTTGAATGAAGGCTTCTGGCACACCCTATGCATAGAAAGTTTCAGCACATATCACTTTTTTTTTTTTTTAACTTCTAATGATTACATTTACAGACATTTAGGCATGACAGTGGATGTAGTTTTTCTGTACAGTGCAGAAAAAATTACCTAAGTGAGGAATTTTAGGTGTTGGATAAAAAAATTTCTGTTGCTGGAAGCAGCATAACAAATCAAGAGGTGGACCAGTCTGATTTTTGGGCATCTACTTATAAATCCATTGCCCTTACACTTTCATGAGAATTTTTTTAAGCCCCTCACCAAAAAATGCGAGTCTTCACAGAAGTTTGTGCTATGGCAGTCCTGGTGTCTGAAAGGATCCTGAGAAAACTTAGTACTTACTATTTTTAATGATATAATGGGAAAATGTTTCATACCTGAGAAATAAATGCCTTTTCTATACCTCAGGGCAAGAGTTGTGCAATCCCGAATGACTTGCCATGCCTAGGCTAGTCTTTAAACCCTTGGTTCCAACTGTGTGAGAAACTGGAGCTCCAGGAAGTCATGTTCCCATCCCAATTGCATGCCTTGTAAGGAACTTTTCTGGCATATCACTGTTTAGCAATCCTAGAGAGCTGAAGCCAATGCTTTGGTGTGCTGCAAAATGGCCTGTGGGTGTGTCTTTCCATCCGGACATTAATATGTAGATAAGGCTGATCTGTTGATCCTATAAAGTGACCAATCTTTTATTACTCTGTGATTGCGTAGTAAACCAGAGTAAAACAGGGAGAGTGCAGAGCTCAGCACTATCTCTCAGCTGGAAACTGCACTCACAAACTACAGACCAAATACTGCAAGTACAGACCTGGGGTTCTGGCTGTCTGACGTCAGTGGGAGCTTTTTAATACTATGTTCAGTTTTATGGTGCACATCTTTTTGTGTATTTTACTACACTAGAATAATTTTTAGTTCAGCTTCTCTGGGAGAAGAGTGAAGGAATTGGGTCTATTCAGCCTCAAGAAGAGACGACTGAGAAGGGACCTCATATTTGTGCATAAATATCTAAAGGGGGGGGATGTCAAGAGGATGCAGCCAGGCTCTTCTCAGTGCTGCCAACCACTAGGACACAAAGCAATGGGCAGAAACTGATGCACAGGAAGTTCCACCTGAACATAGGAAAGAACTTCTTTACTGTGCAGGTGACCATGCACTGGAACTGTTGCCCACAGAGGTTGTGGAGTCTTCCTCACTGGAAATATTCAAGGACCATCTGGACACAGTCCTGTACTATTTGCTCTAGGACAACCCTGCCTGAGCCGGGAGGTTGGACCAGATGATCCTCTGTGGTCCCTTCCAACTTAAGGTGTTCTGTGTGATTCTGGGAGCACAGCAGCTCCCCGACCAGGGTGTATTGTTCCTCTGACTTGAATAAAAGACAAGCGTGGCTGCTCTTGGTATAAATATTGTCAACGGCTTAGCCTAAATTAAGAATTAACGAGAACAGAAAGCATGAATCTTCTATATATAGTTTCCTGCGACTGAGCGGGCCCGTGTATTTCTGGTTCCCAAATGAATGAATGAATGAATGAATGCACGGCGTTGTCCCGGCGCCTGTCGACAATGAATTTACTCCGCACGGATCTCCCCCGCGGCAGCAGGAGCAGTGGCAGGGACAGCGGCAGGGGCGGTGGCAGGGGCAGGGGCTGGGGGGGACAGCGGCAGTGGCCCCGGAGCCGCCCGTGCCCGCGCCCCGCGGGCCGCCCTCGGGCCGCTCTGCCCTCGCGCTTTGCCTCCTCCCCGCCGGAGGTTGGGGCGCGGGGCTGGGGCGAGGCCGTGCCGTAGCAACCGGGCGGTCTCTGGGTTCACAGCCGCGCTGAGGGCGGGCGGGAGGCGCGGCCGGAGGAAGGTGAGGGCCGCTGGGATGGGGGAGGAGAAGCGGCGCCGGAGGCGGCGGCCCCAGGTCCGCCCGCTGGGCAGCGGCAGCGGTGCTGGCGGGGAGTGTGACGCCGAGCTGCGGTCCTTCACCCCAGAGGCCCCGGCTTCCCTTCCTCGCCCGTTTCCATTCGGCGTATCCGGGGACGCGGCCGGTTACCTCAGGTGGCCGCTGCGAGGGCGCAGGGGCGGTGAGCGGCATGGCCGTGCCTCACCCTGGCCCTTGCTCCGCACTCCCCTCTTCGTCAGGCCCCGCTGGGGTTTTGACCCCTCTGACCCGTTTGAGAGGGGACCTCATCAGTGTGTATGAATATCTAAAGGAGGGTGCCAAGAGGATGCAGCCAGGCTCTTCTCGGTGCTGCCAACCACTACGACACGAGGCAACAGGCAGAAACTGATGCACAGAAACAGACTATCCAGAGGGGTTGTGGAGTCTCCCTTCTGGAGATATTCCAGAATTGTCCGGATGCAGTCCTGTGCCACGTGCTCTAGGACAACCCTGCTTGAGCAGGGAGGTTGAACCAGATGATCCGCTGTGGTCCCTTCCAACCTTTCCCATTCTGTGATTCTGTGATTCAGTTTCTGCAGTGGGCAGCCACGCACCTCAGCCCCCCACACTCCTTTTACAGGGAGTTCAGCATTTCCGATGGTGTGTGGTGGCTTCTTGGGCTGTAGGACGTGTGCTTTCCTGAGGCATTCCCACCTGTGAGGGGCAGCCAGGTGGAATGGCCTCAGCAAATGCTGCCATCCACACGTGTGTTACAAAATCTGAGCAGTTGCTGGCTGAAGGTTTTTGTGGTTTGTTTGCACTGGCCAGAGCGGAAAGCATAGAGGTGCCCAGATGAACTTATTTGAAAATAATCTGTTTGGATTCAGATCTTGGGCTGAAGGTTGTCCCAACTTTCATTGGTTTGGAACTTGCTGTTTCCAAGTTGGAAGTTGCTTTGTCTCCTTTCAAATGCTCCTTTTCATACAGAGGCGGTTTCCCATCCAGGTGCTGTTCAAGCAGCTGAGGGTGGTGCTGGAGGCTACACCCCTGGGCATCTGGAAAATGTGATGGCACCTGGGATTCGTTCTCTGATGCAGTCTGCTGCCTGAAATGTGTGCTACTACTGTGGGAGTGTTGTGGCACTATTTCTGCATTCTGAGAGAGGAAGGGCACAAGCTTTGTGGCTTGCTATGGCCATTCACTAAGGCTGTTTTCTGCCATGGCTCTCCTGTGGCAAGGGCTCCCTTTTATTATGCTGATTCCAAGTCTAGGCTCGTCAGGGACTGTGCTGCTGGGGAGCATCTTCTGTACAACACCTGGGAAGTTAGGGTGCAGAACAGTCCTGGTTTTTTAAAGTCCTTCCTGCCTTTTACACTGTTCATGTCTTTCTGCATGAACAGGACAAAGAAGGGAATGGTTTATATGTTTCCCTATGGGTATTTAAACCCATGTGAGCAGAATAAATAGCATGTTCCATTCTGTAATAAAGAAAGAGGGAGGAGACTAAGTCCTTGGGTTAATATTTTATCCCATTTTTCCTTTTCCTGTGGGAAAAACTGCTTGACGACAATAGCTAACATCTGTGCCTGCTAGTGATTCATAAATATCCCTCATTCATTCCTCTTATTTATTAAAAGAAGAAGCAAGTAAATGGCAAAGCATGATGTCTCAAAGCAGTACACTCAGCCAATATATGCTACCTTGCTTTGTCTGGTATTTTGTTTTCTGTTCATGTGCTGTGTCTTATTCACGGTTGGCCCTTATACCACATTCAGGTAACATGTATACACACATAATTCTTTTTCTTTGTGAATCATCTTGTAGTCTTATAGGCAAAGTTATGAATCTCTTCACAAAATTATGTCTCAGATACTCCCAGGTTTAGTCATAAATTGGATTCTAGCAAAGGTAAAGTATACTGCAAAACAATAATAGAATATAATACAACCAGCTGACAGCAGGCCAAAACACCACACTAATTTTTCTAGTATATTGTCTCATTTTTATGATAATTTAGAGTGAAGGAAGGGAAATGATACTACCAATATCCTACTTTCTCTTTTTTGAGTATGGGTCTCACGGTCAAATCTGACTTCAGCCTTTCTTGACATGGGGAGTAGCTATTCTTTGTACTATTATTTTTCTTGAGAAAAATCTTGATCTCATGAGGAAAATCTTGGTTTCATCTTTCTGCAGTTTATTATTGGCTGGACCTGCGGAGCTCATCTCCAGCTCATGTTGACCTGTGCATGGCAACATTTTATATTTCTTAAAACATAATAATTCCTCAGGGTTTAAGAAGAAAGCAAAGAGGAGCTGCCAATCAAGAGATCTGTCATGACTGCCATTACATCTAAGAGAATTGCCTGGAGTGACTGTGAGTATTTCAGCACTATTTTTGCATAGATTCCATGCTTTCCCAGATGATTTCCAGTTTCCTTTGAAACCTTGTGGTGTGCATGCTGCTAGCTGTGTACAAGCCATTCTGAAGCTATGCCACTCTTCCCTGGGCTGTGTTTGGAGTGTTGTGCTTTCCTTCACTTGTTTTAGAAGAAGGAAACTGGGAATGATTCTTCAAGTGACTACAAACAATGCCTGAGTGTATACAGAGCTCGAGGAGCTGCAAACCTTCACCTGCCTCTCTCTAGAGTTAACATCTGTTGCTGCTATTGTTTCTGTGTGGTGCAAAGGAGAAAAGCTGGTAAAATGCCAATGTCTACAGGCATGCTAGCCCAGCACCCTGCTTGTAGGACTGATGACTGTGAAAGAGCTGGTGCCAGTCTACACTGTAGAAGCCCTCTGTCACTGAAAGATGATTTCTGACAATAGAGTCTTATTTCCTGTATGTAGTGTTAACTGAGGAACTTTCTAATGAACCTTTGTAACCAGGTCAGTTTTTATAATATTTGATCTTAGCAGAGAGTTCTGATCATATTCTGTACTAGACTGAAGGTTATTTTGTAGTCATTAAAGATTAAAGTACCATTTGTATTTTGGACCAGTTTGATGCATGCAGTAAATTTACAGGCAACTTACATATATGGGTAACAGAGAGCTAGGATATATCAGATGATGCTGGGGAAAATTTCAAAGTCCACAGAAAGTACAGTTAGATACAGCAAGGGTATTTAATCAACTAGAGCCAGCTTAACTCGTGCAAAGATATTGGGAATGAACAGGAAATACCAATGTCCTCCTAGAACCTCTGTGCTGAGGAACAGAGGCATTACTGTTGTCATTGCTTCCATTTCTGCCTCAGCCACTCTATTCTCTGGGCTGGCTCTGCTGGCAGATGCAAGCAGAGCTGGTCCAGCCAACTATACATCGGTGCTGAGATGCATTCCATGGCCTAGAGAACTTAAAATTAAAATGGACCTTCGTTTTCATGATTTCCTGTGCATGCACATGATATGTCACAGCCCAGAGCAGATATTGCCAGAACCATCATTTACACTTGAGGAAAATTGTGTGAGGAGAGGGAGTTTCACCAGCCTTGCAATAAAGTCAGGATCTGCTGCAGGCATTGCTATTGCTTATGGTAGGACTTCAGTGTTATTTGCTAGGAAATCTGTGTTTATTGCATAATGCTAATAAATGTGCATGTAGTTGTGGTCTGACAATCTTCCAACGCCTATTATGAGTTCTGATTCCCAAGACTTAGGAGAGATGTCTTAGGAGCTGGAAGAAATTCCATTTGGCAAACCAGACTTAGATTTCAGGACTTGAATTTCAGCATACAAGAGACATTTACTTTAATAAATTGAAGATAAGTGTATATAAATTAATAAAAAGATATAACAGCAAGTAGATATGTCGAACTGAGAGCAGCTTTCTAGACTAAGAACATTGTTTATTATAAAAAAAGAAAACAAGAGCTGAGCTATATATGTACAGAGGACCATGGAATATAGGTGAAGAAAGGAGATAATTAGTTTCATTTGGTTTTGGAATTGTTTGGTTAAAGTATAAATGTTGTGTTTCCCTCATTTATCTTTACAGTAGATGCCTTTGATTCAAAGCACAGACAAGATCTTGAAGATTCCTATGAGGCCCACAAGAAGGAATCAAATGAGAAGGAAAGGAGACTGACAGTCAGTCAGTGGAGCACAGACGTACAATCCCTCGTTTCATCTTCTGAATGGCTTCAACGTTATGGTCTCAAAAGAAACAAATTATCCCTCTCTCAGATTTTGTCACAGATTGGATTCCAGCACAGGAAAGGTATAAGACAAATCAATAATAGGATAGAGTAGTCTGTGGGGTCACACTAATTTTGCATCCCAATGTACACATTGCAGATTTTTACGTTGTCTCTTATGATAATGGCAGAAAGGGAAGTTGTATCCATAGTTGCTGGCATTGCCAGTTCAGAGGACTGAGACACTCCATCTGCCTTAGATCTTAGAAGGGCTTTCCTTACTCAACTGTAGTGTTGCTTTACCCGGGCTCCCGTTCACATCCTGTCCAATTTAGCTATAGTGGGCAGTAGCTCATGCTGCTGAGGCTGCTAATATTTTTCCTGCAAATAGCATGTGATAAGATCTCTATCTATTTTCACATTGCAGATATAATGTATGTCATGCCATAATCTGCAATCTACTGTTGATCATCAGGGTTAGCTAACCTGCTTGGGAATAGTATAGTATTTCCAGGTATTCAGCTTTAAGGAAACAGTTAAATTTAATTAGAATGCAGTTTGCTTTTCATGCAAAGTCAGGCTATAGAAAAATGTTCCTTTGCAGTTATCTGACAGCTGGAGGGGAAGAGTTTGCTAATAATTATTAACCACTGCCATAATGGTGTTTTGCAGAGCATGGTAAGATATTCCTTTCTTTGAACAACTTGCTGCCTGAGAAGTAGGAATTGTAATGTATTGCAATTGTTCTAGGTTGCGTAATTTAAGATTTTGGCTGGCCTGTGTACATGGGGCATTTGGAGATCACCAGTGCAGTTCCTGAAATCCTGTATACTGCAGAGGAAGGAGAAGCTGTTAAGCAGGATGAAAGTTGTCACAGTGTTAGGAGCAGTATGTACTGGCTAGGCAAGGCAGCACGCTGTACAGATAGCTGCTTTATGACGTTATATGTTCCCACCCCTAATGTTTTCCTATGGGTGGTGATCCTGTAGAGGATTTCTAGCTACTGAAAGAGCATAATGCAACCTTTTCCTTAGATGCACTCAATTCTGCACCCATTTAGTTGTGTAAGAGAACAGCATTATCTGTACCAGATTTTGTATTTTGTTTGACAGACAAATATTTGCAAGTCCTGTTGTGAGGTTGCCTAAACCTCTCATTTATTAAAGTCCCATGTAGCTTTTTGGCCTATAAATAATTAGATGTGGGGGTTTTCCCCACTTTTGACTAAACTATTAGGGAGCAGCAAAAGCAGGGCTGCTCTATGGGGACAGAGTGAGCCAGGAACCAAAAAGGGACTGCAGCCCAGGCAGTGCCCTCACTGAACAGGATGCAGTCCTGCAGCAGGGTGAACTGATTAACCGTGTCTAGGGGCCAGCCAGGGAGTGCAGCCAGGAGCAACAGGAGATGGAACCAGAGGTAGGACGGGTCAAGGCCATCACACAGGTCTTAGAGTATCCATTAAACAGAACTGCAGACAAGGCTGTAATACAGAGCTGAGAAATCTACCCAGGAGAGAGGTCCAGTAGCAGAACTTGAGACAGCTACACCTACGACATGGCTAGAGCAAAGACTGTGTGCCCAGGCCTGATGTATGCTATCAAACTCTCTGTAATGCGCCTAGAAACCCCAGCTGAGGCTGATGAGGGCAGTGAGGGCCCGTTGGGGGCCTCAGGGCCCCATCATAGATATAGAAAGAAAATAACTGTAAAACAAAAACAGAATTTCTCTCAAGTTTCTTAATGTCAAGGGCTCAATACTGATGCATGTGCCTCATAGAGATGATATACACATCAGCCTGAAAAAGATCTGTTTGAAGTAGTCCTAAAGATTAGCAGTTTGATCTCTTGTAAATTTTACCATAGATTATGTGACCACCTTGGGGAAACCTGTGGCTTCTCGGTATGCAGATGGTCTGTTTCCTCAGTACAAGAGAGCACAAGATGGCAGCGTTTATAATGTAAGTGTGCCTGACTTGTGGTAACGTCCCTGTGCACTTAGAAGTTATTATCACTGTGGCAGAATAATATGACTAAACTGCCTCCCTGTGTCATAAAGTACTTAAATTCTTTGTGAGAACTTTATCTTTTGATAGTATTTTCTTCTTTTGTGTCAAACTGTTAGTGATAACCATCAGTGGTAGAAAAGCTAGCTATCTTTTTTCGTTTCAGTCTTATGCTCTTGCCTTGCTGCAGCATTGCAGTAAATCTTTTCCAGACAAGATGCAGTTTCTAAGCAACATTTACTCTGTTTTGAAAGAGGGAACCCTTAAAAAGAAGATACTCAGAATGAGTTAAAAAAAAATAAAATCATAATCAATAAAACAGATCAGGGTGCTGAAATAAGAAGACAAAATGCGCTGTTATTGCCGATGCAAAGCACTGCTTTGCTTAGTGCCAGCAGGTCACAAAAGGCTCAGCCTATTCTATAGAGACAGCTAACTGGATCTCTGCCCAGGCTTATGTTCTACGGAATGTCTTAGCAACAGCTGCTGGCGGCCCCATTGTTAAGAGGACAGACTCTGATTGAAGAGATGTGCCTGTGAGCTGGGAAGGGAGAGAGTTAATTTATAAAGGATTTTACAAAAGAAAATGGCTTGTCATTTTTTCTGATGACTAGAGTAACTTCTGAGGCGCAAGGGTAAAGAACCATTTCAGGGAGCCTTTTTCCCTCATTTTTTTTTCCCCCATATGAAATATCTACATAATGTCTTTTAATCTTAAGACATGTTGTGAGCAGCAGTGAAAACATTTTTGACACTATACAAGATCTGGTCGGATCTCATTTAGGATATTGTGTACAATATTGTGTACAGTTACCACAGGCTGAGATGAAGCAATTCAAACTGGAGCTGGTACTGGGAAGAGCTAGTAGGATGAACTGCAATGGAGGGCTGATCTTATAAGAGGGCTTGGTTGATGCTGAAATGTAAGTCTGACGAAGACTGATGAAGGGCAGTGTTATTGCCCTTGAATGCTACAGAAAGGCAAATGACAGGGATAGAGAAAAGCTATGGTTTTCTATGCTAAAAGGCATACTAGTTCAAAAATAAATGGGTATGAATTGCCATGAATAAAATTCAGCTGGACAGTCAGAACTTTTCCAGCCCTCAGAGAAATGGAAATCTGGACTGGCTAAATACAAGTAAGAGGGTATTGCAAGAAAGCTTTATTTTAAGATGGAGTTTGGTCAGTGTAGTGCAATAAGCTTCTTTGTATGAGTCTGACTGTCATAGGAGGAAACTGGATTTCTAAATGCTCCTTCCCAGGCCTACATTCCTTTGGCAGACTGCCTGAGACTCTGTATCTGGGAGGCACATTACAGGGCGCTAGCTGATATTAAAGAACACAGAAAAATACAAATGAGAGGGAGAAGTGTGCAGACTGACACAGAAAATTACTTCTCCCTGAGAAATATTCTTGTTTAAAAACATTTGTATCTCCAAGGTTTTGTACTTAGTCCCAGAAAGGCAGTTAGAGATAGAAGGCAATCAGTAAGTCGGCTCACATGGGTCAGAGATTTTGGGGGAATATCTTTACTGGAGTCTGTGGTGCATTTTTAAACCCACAGGTCATGGTGAATGTATATACATGTATTCATAGGGAGGATCTGCTGGTTTTAATTTTAATACTGAATCTAGATTTTTCTTACATTTCTGATATAGCATGGGAAGTTTTAGTTGTTGATTGCAGTTATCCGAACTAAATTTTTCTAAGCACCTACCTGCAAATAGTTAACCTGTAATGCTGGCTATTTTTTGTGAGATAATAGTACAAACAAGAAACATTTTGCATTTTCCTTTCAAATGCTAAAGACAAGGTGGAGATTGAAGTGCCCCAAAACCAAACCGTATGCTCCCTTGTATTGCTGTAAAAAAATGTTAAGGGCCAATCAAAATTCTAGTCTGAGAAGGTACAAAGTTTCTCTGTCTTGTTTGTTCACCCATCTGCTCTGCAGCCCTTTCTACATCCTAGACTGTGTTCAGCTCATTCTAATTGCTCCAGTTTTGAGACAGACAAGTCAGACAACCCACTGGCACTGTCCCATGCTCATATAAACAGATTATGAAAAGCAATTAGGAACAAAACGCAGTGCCTTTTCTTTATAGCTTAGATGCATTTGTCAAGTATTTGCTCTTGAAATAGTGGAAGGAAAATGGGTTGTTACTTGGTTGGTATATCTGACACTTGCAAACCAGCTATTGCAGCTGTGCTAAGCTTGGGGCTGCATTTGTATTATTTGTTTTGATGTTCAATTTCCTTCTCTCCCTTATTTAAATAAAGCTGACAGCCAAAAAAGAACTGATTCTTCATTTTGTGGATTGTCTAATGGGAGCTATTGAGCTGTATAAGCAGCGAATGGAATGGTTAACCAGTGAGAGCCGGCAGATATTTGGAGTGATTCAAGAACGGTGCATTGTCATTGTTTTGGATTTTGGCACTGCAGCTCCAACTGAATTTGATCTATGTCGGGATGCACTTTCTATGGTACTTGCGGAACAGGTGATCCAAATTGCCAGATTCAACCTCATTTGGTAAGCAGAAAGAATCGTAGAATCATAGAGTGGTTTGGGTTGGAAGACACCTTTGAAGGTCATTTGGTCCAACACCCCTGGAATGAGCAGGAACATATCCCCCTGGATTATGTTGCACAAAGCCCCATCCAGCCTGATCTTGAATGTTTCCAGGGATGAGGCATCTCCCACTTCTTTGGGCAACCTCTTCCTGTGTTTCAGTACCCTCACTGTAAAAAAATTCTTCCATATATCTAGTCTGAATCTACTTTCTTTTAGTTTAAAACCATCACCCTTTCTCCTATTGCTACAGGCCCTACTAAAAAATCTCTTTCAATTTTTCTTATAAGTTCCTTTAAGTGCTGAAAGACCACAATCAGATCTGCCCAGAGCCTTCTCCAGGCTGAACAAAGAAGTCCATGTTGGTCCATTGCTGGAGAATAGAAAGGAGTTGCATATTATATAAACATGTACTTGTATAAGATGCTTCCTGGACTGTAAATTGTCATGATTCATGCCATGCTCATATCTATAGATTTTCCAGCAAGATCCACCCCTAGTCACTTGAATTTGCTACTTCCATTTAAAATAAGACCACTGTTACCATGAAGAACAGATGTAAAGAGGAACAGAACCCAAATACTGATGTATGCACAGACATCCAGAAAGATAGGTGGACTTTACAATAGCAGTAGTGCCCTTCAGGCATTGATGTATTCAAGAGTGAAAAAGTGAGGTCCTATCTGACCACCTAGGCATTCTTGTATCTTTAGGCATTAGGGGTTTCTGCCTTACACCTGAATTAACACTCTACCAAGTGCCATAGGCATAGCCTTTTGTATTTCTATAGCTTTCCATGGTCACAGAAATCAGTAGCAGGACTAGGAAACAATAGTAGATTTCCATAACAAAAGGCAAGCGCTTGTTCCCTAAAAGGAGTGAATGAATTAGCTTTTAGTTACAAATAGAAGAATAGAAGCAGATATTCAAATTTTGCCTATCTATGCAAAAATTCTCATATGCATAAAAGTTTGAACTTGTAAGATTGGGTTTGGATAGATTAGTAGAAAAAATTATGCACAAATTAGTTCATATAATGTTAAAATTGGTTCCACAATGCTAACTTGCAACTGCACTGTGATTCTTAATGTTATTTTACACAAGCATTGTCTAAGAGATTTTTACAGCTCTACTGCTCTGTCTTAATTCTCTAGACTGTGATACAACTGAGATGTGAAAAAAAGAATAGTAGAATCATGGAATGGTTTGGATTGGAAGGGACATTAAAGACCATCAAGCTCCAATGCCCCTGCCATGGGCAGGGACACCAACCAGACCAGGTTCCTTAAAGCCCCATCCAACCCAGCCTTGAACACTTCCAGCTTTGGGGCATCCACAGTTTCTTTGGGCCACCTGTTGCAAAAGTAGTTATTTTCCAAAGTAGATAACTTCTAAAGTGGATAACTTCCTTAGCTTTTGAGAACAACAGATAACTATTTCTTTAAAAATGAACTGCAAAGCCAATCCAAAATTGAGACATAATAAATAAGTTCATCAATTCATTTGGTTTTGCAGGAGAGAGATAAAAGACAATGCAGCATATAAATTATTACTTTAAAAGAATCTCGGGATACATATTTGTCTTCTAGGTTTGGAGGAAACTCTTCAAAACAGTGCTTAATGGAATGTCACAGATACTGGAATCAGTTGGTTTTTTAGTTCCTTTAAGTCTTTTTATGTATAAGTGCACAGGCAAACATGCTCATTTGCTTTGTACTTCTTCCATTAAGACTAAACCCTTTAACAACTAAAATATAAAAAATTTCATTTTTGATAGGTAGCTAAAGATCAGCCTTGCTAGGAAAAAAAAAGTGTCAGTTAAACTGGTCTGACACAAAGGTTGTGCAGCAAGTTGTGGAACAAGACCTGTAGAAGACACTTGTTTTTTTTTTTTTCATGCACATATTTTAAAAACCTGATTGAGTTTTTATGTTAAAGGGAGATACAAATCAGGGACTCTTTTTGACATACTTTAGGTCTTCTGACCCTACTTTGAAACAGTTGTCTCAAAAAAATCATATAAAACTACAGTATTTTTCTAATTATGTTATTTTCCTTCTGCTTCTTTTATTTCAAGTCTAGATTTAGTATCTGTGGAATAGTGTAATTATTACTTAAGAATATAAAATAATTGTTATAGTAGCAGAGCTCTGCTCTCTTATTCTGCCAGCATTATTCTCACTATTTCTGATTTATAGTTAATCTCATTTTCAGGGCTGCACGGAATCTTATGAAGTGGCAACAGAAACCTACTCCTGTGTCTGAGCACACTGTTAAGGCTGCTGTTATGTGGCTCTGGAAGCTGGACCATATGACAGCTGTCAGCCATACCAACTCTGCTGATGCCCTGCTGGAAGCCATGGGTGATGAGGCGGTAAGCTCATACATCTTTTCAGAAGCCTCAAGTAAATCCAAGAATATACAATGCCAGACTGGCTGCTGTGATTTGCCCTGATGAATGTTGCAAAGATAAATATTAATGTCAGCATTTGGAAAGGGTTTTTTTTCCTCACAAGTGTAGCTGCATACTATGCTTACTGATGGCCTGTTTATGTAAATGTACTGTATTTTGAATGCAGAAACTTGTTTATTTTCTTTTCTAGAGTACCCAGAATAAATAACGTATTCAATCATTAAGGGAAAGAGAAAGTATCTTCCCTTCCACTTTCTTTGCTGTATATATTTTTCAGGGCTTCAAGCTTGTGAGAAAATTGTTAGCATCAACAATACTGAAGACAGAGAAACCATTTTTATTTTGTTATGTGTCCAACGTGCTAATGAAAAATTATATTTAAAATCCAAAATAGTAATAGAGAGATTTGTGTAAGCATTAACTCATGGTAGGGATACACAGATCCTTTTTTACCAGGCAGGTTATACATAGAGTTTCTTCCATGACAGAGACAAAGCCATGCACAGTTATTCCTGCAGTT